TGTGTGTGTGTGTGTGTGTGTGTGTGTGTGTGTGTGTGTGTGTCTGTGTGTGAGTGTGTGTGTGTGTGTGTGTGTGTGTGTATGTACACGCATGTGTATGTGTGCCATATTATGATGTGTTTGTGAAGGTTGGAGGACAACTTTTAAGACTTGCCCTTTTCCTTTTACCTTATTTTGAGGCAAAGTCTCTATCATTTCTGTTACACTGCCTACCCAAGCCTAGGTGTCCCAGATGCTCCCACCTTAGCCTCTTGTCTTTATCTTGCATCTCACCTTAGGGAAGCTAGGAGTACAAATGAGTTCAACTACATCAAGCGTTTTTTAAGGATTGCATTGCAGATGGCAATGCAATTTGCTTGTCACAGGGTCCCTCTATGTGGTCCTGGCAGTCTTGGAATTCTCTATGTAGATCAGGCTAGCCAAGACCTCACAGAGATCCTCCTGCCTCTGCCTCCACAGTGCTGGGACTGAAGGACTATGACACTGTGCCTGGTCCATAGCAAGCGTTTTTATCCCCTGAGCCATCTTGCTGACCCAGTGTTCTCCTTTTAAAACTGCAGTCATCATGCCAACCTTACAGGGCTGCTTGGACGAGTACATATTTCCACTACCTGGGACCCAGAAGGGACTCATCCAATGGTAACTCCCTTTGAGAAGATGTCAATAGATAGTCCATTCAATGGCATTGCTCCACATTCTCCTATGAACAATTTCCAAATAACCCTAAATTCCACTGTGAATATTTCATTTGGTACTTGTGATTAGTTTACTGTCACTGTGATAAAATACCCAACACAAACAGCTCAAACAGAAGGAAGGATAATTTTGGTTCATGGTTTCGGGTCATGCCACTTTAGCTTTGCTGCTCTGGTTCTGAAGTGAGGCCGAACCTCATAGGGGGGAGGCCATAATGGAAGACCTATGCTTACCCTATGGCCTTGCAGGTCAGAAGGAGACAGGAAGGGGTTAGGATGGTCCTACAGCTAGTCCTACCCTCCCACACACTCCTCAAAGTTTCTGTGGTTTTCCAGAGCAAGCCTTCAGCCTAGACATTCATGAACCTGAAAGAGACAGTTCATATTTAACCACAAAAGGCATGATTTATTTATTTATTTATTTATTTATTTATTTATTTATTTATTTATTTATTTTGGTTTTTTGAGACAGGGTTTCTCTGTATAGACCTGTCTGACCTGGAACTCACTCTGGAGACCAGGCTGGCCTCGAGCTCAGAGATCCACCTGCCTCTGAGTGTTGGGATTAAAGGTCTGTGCCACCACTGCCCAGCACAATGTTTTTTTTTTTAATCTAAATTTATGATTTATTTTCATTTCAGTTATTGAGATTTTTATGATTTTAACATGTCCCCACACTCTTCCATTTTTATTCAAGGAAGGAATGTGGCTCCAGAAAACAAAGCAGAGGTGTCAGTGGCATGGGGCAACTCTCCTCCCACCTTTTTAATTTTAGACAGAAGTCAAATGAGAAAATGCAGACACCAAGGAATAGGTAAGAAAACTAGAAGATATCCGTAACAATACAGTTTCTTCTTCCTCTATTTTTTTCTCTTCCTCTTTTACATCTGTTTACATTCTGCAAGCAAGAATCCCTCAAGGCCAAGAATTCAAATACTGACAGGGGAAGCACGGGGACATTGGCTGTGCTGAAAGCTGGACCTGCTGAGTTTGAAGGGTCTTCCCTCCAAGGAGAACTTCGTGGTGGCAGTGACACCCAGAGAAAGTGTGGCCTCTCTCTGTCTGGCAGGTCTAGACAACCTCATGGGAGGTTCTAAAGTAGCCCAGAGGAGGAATGACCCAGAGGATCAACTAGTTCCTTTCCAATAATGTGTCTCTATAACATGGGAGGGAAAAGAGAAGAAAGACCGACAGCATTGACCAAGGCAAAGTTTATGTCAGCCTCTATAATGATGCCATGAAATAGAAGTCATGTGGAAACACAGATCATGTTATACTTGTTATAAATCTGCATTTGTAAGCAGAAATTATGGCCTATTATACCTATTTATATGTTTGGTCCATAAAGCTCTATCTAATTCAGTTAGTGTTGCCTGAGTGCCAATTTGTGCCAGGAGGTGTCCTTGACCTTAGGGTGCTTACTATCTATTCAGGAGGCAGGTTTTAAAAATACATAGCAAATCAAAGAAATATTGCCAAGGTGGAATCACATAAGCCTTTCATGCTGTTAGGATAAATGCCTCCTTGAGGAAGTTAGGCTAGGCCTAACTTAGGCCTGACCTAAGTAAGAATCCCCAAGGTGAAATGTCAGGGGTAGAAGAATAGCAAAGGGGAGGAAGTAGAATAGGTTTTGGAACTGAGAAACCAGGATACTGAGGATTGGAGATAAAGGAAGCTTCAACTTTTGAACATTATTATATTTGATGTTATCATACTGTTTTGTTTTTTGTTGGTTTTTTATTAAATTCTTTAATTAAAAATCTTATTTTCCATACCAATCTTAGTTTCCTCTCCCTACCATCCTCCCATGCCCCCCAACAACCCCTCCAACCCACTCTTACCCACTCCTCAGAGAGGGTGAGGCCTTCCAAGGATCATCAAAGTCTGTCACATCACTTGGGGCAGGATGTGTCTAGCCAATCCCTCCATAGGGAATTGGCTCCCAAAGCCCATTTGTGCATTAGGGATAAATACTGGTCCCACTGTCAGAGGCCTACCCAGGCCTCCTAACTGACACCCACATTCAGGGAGCCTGGTTTAGTCCTATTCAGATTCCCTAGCTGTCAGTCTGGGGTGTATGAGTTTTCCTTTGTTCAGGTCAGCTATTTTTGTGGATTTCCCCAGCATTGTCTTGACCCCTTTGCTCATCATGCCTCCCTCTCTACAACTGGATTCCAGGAGATCAGCTCAGTGCTTAGCTGTCAATCTCTGCTTCTGCTTCCATCAGCTACTTGATGAAGGTTCTAGGATGGCATTTAAGTTAGTCACCAATCTCATTATCAGGGGAAGGGCATTTAAGGTAGCCTCTCCACTAATGCTTAGATTCTTAGTTGGGGTCATCCTTGTGGATTCCTGGGAATTTCCCTAGTGCCAGGCTTCTGGTTAACTCCATACTGGCTCCCTCTATCAAGGTCTCTCTTTCCTTGCTCTCCTCTGTCCTTCTACCAGCTCCACCTTCTTGATCCCTCATGTTTTCCTCCTCCCTCCCACTTTCCCTTCCTCTCTCTTCTACCTCTCTTTGTTTGAGTTTTGTTGTTGTTGTTTTTGTGCTTTTTTTGGGGGGGGGACAGGGTTTCTCTGTGTATCCCTGGCTGTTATGTAATTCACTCTGTAGACCATGTGGACTGCAAACTCAGAGACCTCCCTGACTCTGTCTCTCAAGTGTTGGGACTAAAGGTGATCTTATTTTCAGTTGATTACTTCTCATTTGTTTCGTAAACAAGTTTGACTGGAAAATAAGATAATGTAGTATATTTAGGTCAAAGTCAGAGGGGAAAATGCAGTCATTATCTAAAATAGCATTCTGTCACAAGACTGCAAATTTACTAGCATGACTGAGTTTGGGAGTAAAAATATGTTCACTCCTGTACCCTGTGCCAAT